GAGAGGGGGTGGAGGCCCCATCCCTGGGACCATTCCAGGCCAGGTTGGCCGGGGCTGTGAGCAACCTGATGTGGTTCAAGGTGTCCCTGCTCCTGCAGGGGGGTTGGGCTGGGTGACCTCTGGGGGTCCCTTCCAACCCAAAACATTCTGTGATTCTATAAAAGAGGGAGGCCCGCCCCCCCACCAAGGGCTGAGGTAAAAGAGGGGGGACTCACCCCTACAGGCTGGCTTTTGCGCTCTGGCCCCGGGAAGGTGCAGGCAAGCCTGGCCTTACCTCACTGCCGGTCTCCTCCCTGAGGGACAGGCACAGGCCCTGCTGCTCAGCCCCACCCTCACCCCTCGCAGGCCCAGAAAGCTCCCACTCAGTAAATCTCCGCAACCGGACAGCAGCATGGAGGGATTGGTTTTTATTTCAAAAGACAGTAAGACAATTTTATTTTTTTTTTTTCAATTTAGTATCAAAACGCTTGATAGGGTTCTTGTCTCCAGATTGGCCCCTGAAACTGCTACAACCAAGCAGCATGCTCAAGCACAAGCCACACGCTTGACACGTCTCCACACTCACACCTCACAACAACTACACATCAGCAATGCACAGGAAGATGGCTTGTACCTTAAGACACTAAGAGCACTCCTGGCTAGGAGGGAAGGCCTCAGCTCCCTCCCTCAGGGTAGGCAAAAAAAAAAAAAACAAACAACCCACTTTCCCGAGAAAACAAGGCTGTGGTAATTAAGCTGTTAAGTGTAACCCAGCAATGAGCAATAAAGCTTGGTGCATCAGCACTTAGTGAAGGCAAATTCAACCCCTGTGTAGCAATAGGTTAGAGGAGCCGTGGCTTCTCTAAACCTCCTGCGAAAGGAAGTGGCCAACGGGGGGGGGGAGAAGGGGGGCAAGGAAACAACCCTGTGAAGGTTCAGTTGTTCAGAGAACAGGCTTGGTTTTTAAAAAAAAAGAAGTGTCTCCTTTTTGCACAAAAGTTGCTTCTCCACAACACAGAGTTACCTTAAAGCTGAGAAACTGAACTGCTCTTTAGCAAACAGCTCCTGGAAAGGAAGTTTTCCCAATAGGCTTCCATCCCTAGCCTGGCTACTCTGATTCGGTGGCCCACAGCCAGGAACCGTCACACCCTCTTTCCTCCCCTGCCAAAGCAGGGGGGCCCAGAGCTGATTAACAGAAGGTTAATACCAAATTTTCAAGCCAAGAGCTTTGAAGTGTAGCTCACCAGCCTCAGAGTTATTTG